GCTGATCCGCAGTAATTCAAACCAAGTAACCTGGTTCCGAATATCTCACGAACTATCGCACAAATAGTGATGCTTTTAGGCTTAGGGGAGTTCTAGAAAGCAGCCTAATACACCTAAGCATAAATTCTTCGCAAAACGCTTGTTTGTGAAATACTTGCTGCGGTTCAGCCGCGGCTTAGCCACGGCTGAGCTGCAGTAATTTAAGCCGCGGCTGAACCGGCTGTGCCGGCTAAGCCGGCTTGCTGCACTAATTACGACACCAGAAACTACACCGGCAAACGACAACTCAGTTACCCAGTTACTTTTTTTTAAAAAAAAACTCTGATTAGTAAAGAGGAGAGTAACGTGTACGAAAAAAGCTAACAGCAAGGTAATGACAGCACCTACAAGATAACAGAAATGCATCAACAGGCAATAACATATTGGACCTAGCTGCCACACCAAAATTGTCGAGCAAATTCTTGATTTTGCTATCCCCCCGTTAAACGTAGTAATTCTCTTTATTTTATTTATTTATTTACTTATTTTTTGTTAAATTCAAAACAGACGTTGTTATGACTAGGGAGAGCTTTATATATCCAGACCAATTTAGTCCAGTGTCGTAAGATAAATCTTGATGGTAAGTTGCACAGGCCGGGTCCGTATATAGAAATAGTTATCGGATAGGGTAAATATCGTAGGGGGCGTGCAGCGCTATACTTAGATTATATCGTCTCCTCAATTAAGCTATATTCGTAAGTAGTTGCCACGGGTTACGTTTAGGTTGCCTAGGGTCCAAGTCAGGTCGTTATGGATTGCGGTTAGGTTACTTATGGTCCAGGCTAGGTCGTTATCGGTTGCGGTTAGGTTACTTATGGGCCAGGTTAGGTCACCACGTGTCACTTATCAAGCTAGATTGGAGCTTATTATATATTTATTATCGGGGCCAAATAAGAAAGAGTTAGGTCACGTATCCACTGTACTTATTACTTGAGCAGAATAAGAAAGAGTTGCTTTATTTATTAAGCAAGCGTCCTATTTATTCATTTTGATGTGCAAGGGTTTCAAACCCGGACCTGGGGTTTCGATCCCAGGTCTGGGGTTTCGAACCCAGATCTGGGGTTCCAAACCCTAATCCCGGGTTTCAAACTCGTACACGTGCTAATATTGTGACTACGTAATTTACTGCTTTTACATAGGTGAATAACGAAACTATATAGCGAAAATTTACAGGGTAAGGAAATTTTCGTTGAAATTTTCCGTAACATATTCCTCCTCTCAAAAGGTGAGCTCAGTCGAACCCATCAACAACCTTCGGGTTTCCTCCTCCCTCTTACTTCTAGCTTCACCTAGCATCTCATCAAAATCCGACTCCAACATTCGTTCTAGCACCGAGATATTGATCCGCTGAACCAGATGCATGTACCATTCACCGCGAGTGCTGAACAACAGGTATACTCGTTTTGCGATTTTCCAGACCAGGTCGACTTTATGTCCAGGGAATTGTTCGGCCAACCTCCTTCTAGCTTCATTTCCCCATCCTTTCTCAAACAGCAAGCTTCCGACTTTATAGTAGGCTTCCAGTACAAAATCATTCGACTTCAGGGCGCGAACCTCAGCACATGCATTGTCAAGCTTCTCATCCCAGGTTGCTCCGGCAATCTCAAAGGGCATTACGGGTTCAGGTTCAGCAGGTCGGTCCAGATCTTGCAGGTACAGGCTTAGGTCGTCATGGATTTGCTGAGGTGTGGGCTGATCCAAATTCCATCTTTTGCTTAAAATTATAATAAAACTAGTGCTACAAATAACTTTAAGGCAGGATGTTATCAGGGCCATGAGTGGTATGAAATCATAGACTGCTACAGATGAAGCATAAATGAACTATTTAAAATAAGACATTAACGCAATTAATTATATATAAATTATATGGATTCAATAAATAAGTAAAAATTGTTAACATACCATGATGGTAATAAGTGGAATACTTTTAATAAAAATATCTATGGATGTTCTAATTAAAGCCAGTCTAAGCTTAAGCTTATTCTTATCATACAAAAAAACTTCCGTCAGGTCGTCCAGAATTATCAGAGAATCACTATCAGCAATTACGAAAAGAATATACATTGACAGTGCCGTAGTATTCATTTTTTCATTAGCATATTTATTAAAAATATCTTTCAACGTTCTATGAAGATCATTCTTTTCTGATTCATTTAGTGGATGTTCACTTATATTGCTACTTTGTAACGCTTTAAGCTTAGTGGAAATAAGTGAGATTATTACCGCAGCATTTTCTTTTGCTATTTTATTGGTCATTTTTTGTGTTATAATAGGTATCGTATCTAACATTTTATCCAATGACTCTGTTGTTATCTTAGGTCGTTTTGCATTAAAAGATTCCTCCAAAATATTTTTAATTTTGTCACAAATTTTTGACTTAAAAATATCAGAAATTTCTTTAGACATCTCGTTGTAAACTTTTTCAGAAATTTCGGATTGTTTTTTTTCGTTAAGATATTCTCTTTCTTCGGAAATGAAAGCTCGAATTTCTTTCTGAATGCCTTCTTTTATCATTTGTTGGAAACGCATGTAGAGAAGTTCATTTAGTAATATAGTCTCTATTTCTTCTTGTACCACATTAAAAATTTGTTCATTAGAAATTTCGGAGCCTTCATCAGAACTTTCAGGGCTTTTGGAATCTATATTGTTGTGATTTTTGCTATTGATTATTTCAAACTTATGATATATCCTTTCATCAATTGTGTCTTTTATATTGATTTTAGAAAAATCTATTTCGTCATCTATTTTTATTTTGGAAAAAATAACAAAATAATTTGTTTTAGAAATATTTATTATATTTATTATTTTTTTACTCAACGTTTTTTTACTCGACTTTCCAGAAGTGGGGCTATTCTTACTAATGTCACCCATTTCCTCATCGTTGGAGGTCTTCTTATTAGTGCCTTCAGAGCTAGCATTATTATCAGGTCTAATTTCATCACTGGGCTTATTGTCACCCATTTCCTCATCATTGGAGGTCTTCTTATTAGTGCTAGCATTATTATCAGGCCTAATTTCATCACTGAGCTTTTTGACAAGCTTGTTAAGCACAAATACGGTAGCTATTAATAAATTTATAGCTATTGGAACACACCAGATAATTTGGCTTTGAGACGGTAAAAAAAAAAAAAAGAAATCAATTCAATAACATTAAATATATACATATTAATTTCAACAATATATAAATAAATACCTTGGCAACACAAGCTCGGGTTTATCTTTAGAATTGATAAAAACAAAGCAAGCAGAAAAAACCACATCGATGCAAATGAGTACACAACCTGAAACTGTATGAGCTATTTCTTTTGCTTTATCCGAATGTTTGTCCATAACCCAAATTAAAACGAGATCTTTGGGTTTGTCTATTATTTTATTCAGTATTTTTTTCACTTTATTTTCAGTAATTCCATTCTTTATATTTTTATGCTTATTACTTTCAGTCTCATTTATTTCATTCGTACCATCCTGTTGACTCTTATTACCATCCTGCTTACTCTTATTATCCTGTTTACTCTTATCATCCTGTTCACTCCTATCATCCTGATTACCCTGTTCGCTCTTTATGTAGAATATTACGATCATTACAAGAACTAGAATCGACACGACAATATATTCTCCGTATTTATCCCACAAACACTCTAAAATATAGTTGGTTATATAATATTTAATTATGTTATAATGACAATATTTTTAAATGCAATTAAACTTACCATGCACAATGAAGCCATAATTATGATCCAAATCATTGGTTAAATTCTTTGAAAATGTTGTGATATCCTTGTTTATGATCATAGTTTTTAAATCTGACACTACGTCGTGGGCATTATTTTCTGTACTTGGATTTACACGAATAGTAAAAATAATTTGCGTGCCATTTTGCGTGCCATAATTAATATATTGGAATTTTTCATTTGTACTTAAACGATCACGTTGGACTGGTAATTTTTTAGAAATTTCATCTAGTAAATTCTTAAAGTATTCAGAACGGCTAGGATATGATAAGAATTTTGCTACTCCGTTACTTGTAAGACTGACTGAACCAGTCAAAGCAGCATTATCTACAAAAATATTAAATAGTTTTTAGGTTTCATGAAGAATAGCAACTGAATATTATTGATATGTTAATATAATAACCTGAAAAATTCGACTTAGTAGCTAAAGATTTAAAGGACAGCATTTAAAATATGAGTAAACATTATATTAAATAATAAAAAATAAATCAAACATCAAATCTTACTTGAATTAAGATTCCAAATCCCTCCACTAATTCCTATTAGAGGTTCCCCAAGATATTTATTTTTAATAAAAGCATTATCCATTTGTACGCAATATTCAGCGTACTGATTAAATGTACTGCTAATAACTGTTACAGAAAGAATTTTTCCATCCTGACTGATTTTACAAAATTGATCCTTTGTCGGTGAGACTTTTTGTCTGACACTGAAATCAGAAGTTTTGTAAATAGTGATATAGCTTTCTGACGAATCGTATGACAAAGAAATAGGTTCGTAAAAGGTAATGTTTATAGTTGATAATGATGAATTTACAGTAGCATTTATGGAAGGAGAAGTTTGGTCTATCCAAAAATTACCATAACCATGGTCTAAATAGATATTATAAAATGTTAAACTTAACGGCACAATAAAAGCAGATTTTAGATTTGAGTGATAAGAAGAACATACCAAGAGTTTTAAAGACTTTAGGTAGCTGAATGCTTAACAAGGACCAAGAATTTTGCTCATTTGGATAAGGTGAAGCAAGTAGAAAAGTGTTATTATTTCTCATAATATCATATACACCAAAAGCGTTTGAAATAAAAGGACCCGGTTGTGCTAAATCAATTTGATTATTTTTTTCATCAAAAGCAAAAATATAATGATAGCTTATGTCACCAATATTAGCATTATTGTCTAAAATGTATCCACCGAATGGCATTGTTTTCATTTTCCAATCTAGCAGAGGCAGAGTTACATTAGGGATATTAGGGATGATATCGGTGATCATAGATGATGATAACACCGATCCTGATGATAAGAAGTTAACTTTTATATAATATGTATTATTTGAGGTTAAATTGCTTGCCGTACTGCTTTCTATACTTGAATTGACTTCTTTGGTTGAGGAATCGACAGCTATTGTGCAAGATTGACCAAAACCAACCGATATTAAACCACAATAAAGTCCTGTAATGTTTACACTACGGCTTAGTTGATAAAGAATAGCCACCTTTTCATCAGATGTTTGGTTGTAGGATAAGAATCTAGCACTCAGTGTGCACCTTATGGCTAATAATTCAGTTTCAGTGTTCGAACAAATAGCGTACAATATACTATAGCCACTATTAACAGTAGAAATTGCTGTGAACTTAATCGAGGTAAAATTTGGAAGCATAAAATTCTCATTCCTAAGCATTGATAATTTTCCAGAGTTATCACTATATATTATAATGATCAATTATTAATACAACATTAATAAGAGTTATAATTAAAATTAATGCATAGTAGAAAAATTAAATTACACTAAATATTGGTGCGCTTCGATCCACTGTGCTGTGTAGTTTTTTACAACAGCATATCTAAGAAAACCGAGTCTTTTATTTATGTTTACTTGAACTTTACTTTCTAAACCCCAAACATCTTGAGGATCAAAATAAGACGCGCCATAACGTATTTTACTGATAAATTATTAATAAATCGATATTAATAAATGATATTAAAAATCTTTACAAAATAAAATATTGTTATACATACCTTTGACTGTTGCCATTCCAATTAATGACTTGTCCCCACTCCTCAAAAGTATTAGGATCAGAAGAATTTTTAGCAGTGTAATAATTTACTAGAATGAATGGTTGTTCCAAAGTATATATTTTAATGGGAATCACTAAATTTTTATGAATATTTATAAGACAATAATTCAAAGGATCCAGATTTAAGTCAGCGTTAATCTCGATAACAGTTCCGTTTAATTGAATAATTCTTATACGTAATATCGGTTCTAAGCTACGTCCATTGCGTTTAGAGCAATCAACTTGCTGTGTACCGTATCGTATTAGATGAACTAGAGTTGTCCCATCATCATAGGTTCGAATGTTAGCTATTTCAGGTGAACTTTGAGGAAAACTAGTATTTGCAGTACTTTCTGTGTAGTTGAAGAAACTCAATTGCTGTTTCTGCGATTTCGTTGATATTATAAATAAGAAAAACGATATTATAAATAAACATTGTGTTATATGGTTTATATGGTAGTAAAATAACTTCATTGCAAATTTCTTTTATGCCTGATTGTTAGAATTTTTACAACAATAACAACAATTGAACGTATATATATGCGTATTTTTTACGCAGCCTGTTATAATTCATATTGAGATTTACTCTTTTGTAGATTTAAACGATAAATTATATATACTATTAATTATAAATACATCAATATTATACAGCGTAATCAATATAAACTTGCAAGTTATTTACATACAGGTACAGAAGTATAACTTAATCGTATAGAGTAAAAACATACATAAATTATATACACTATTACTTTTTGTATTATTTAAAAAAAAAGAAAGATCGAAAATTATATGATCTTTAATGAAACAATAAGATTTATATAGGAAACATATACATGCTAATAACAATTGTAAATAATTTTTATTAAAATTTTATAGTAGTATTTTATAGTAGTTTATAGATTAAAATGCATTAAAATGCTCTTTTATAATAGTTTTAATAAATAAAACTCTAAAAAACATACGTATTTTTATATTACTTTTTTGGTTGATATGATTTTGTAAATACGTAATTTATGTCATGCTATTTAATTCGTGAGATATTCTATATAATAGGTGGGCATATAAGAGATAAGCTTCGCTAATGATTAGTAATCATTAATTTTTTAATAGCGGAGTTGCGGAGTTTGCGGAGTTTTCCCACCTATTCTATAAAAATTCAATTCGTGGTTTTCATTAAATTCTTTTCCCAATATAAGGGAGAGTGTGTGTGAAAAAAGAAACATATTGACATGAGTTCAGGATCGGGATTATCGATTAAGTGATGCATGATCATTAATAAGGTAGCTGCGCGACGCCGTGCACGACACAGGGAACTGGTCCTGATAATTGATTAGAAATAACAAATTAAAGTAATGAGTACTAGTGCTATTTTATTTAGTACGTATGGGCGGATTTTGTCGATTCTGGTAATTATTATAAAAAAAAATAAATGATGCATACTGTAATAATTTATAAAATTTGATCCAAATCATTTATGTGGTGTTGCAAAATTGCCGGTATTAAATATTCAAGATATAATAAAATTAAATTGTATGAATTGTATGTATTCTGCGTCATGAAGCCGTCTATTAAAAATGATAAAATTAAACATTTTGTTTATTATTAGGAGTGGTTAAATACTTTTATTGTATCACTTAATTTTATGATCACAATATTCCTATCAAAAATTTTCGCCCATACGAATTAAGAATAAAAATTGGTATCGTAAATTCTCGAAATAACGCCTAGGGGTGAAATTACGAAATTAAACTTAATTTGAAGCAAAACTCAAATTAACGCCTATATATGCTATTTTTGAAAATCTACAGTGAGGTTTAAATAGAATATTTAAAAAAATTTATTAATTAAATAGTTTTTATATTTCCTGACTAAATTGAAATGAAATAAGAAGTATTCACGATGGCATATATTAATGATAATAAGTTATGCAATACATAGATTTTATATATACTTATGCATTAGCAATTTTGAGTAAACTTTGAAGTTTGTCAATAAGATGAATTAAAAAATTTTGTAGCATAATGTACAATAATTGTCGCTCACGATTATAACGATTTGGTAATTAGGCCGTTCGAAGTTGATTCTTCGGTTAACATCACTTTCTAGGACTCCCGGGGGGAGGGGGTAAAATGAAACGAACATATAAAAATGAACAGATATGGGTCAATTTCAT